TTATGTACAGCCAGGTGGCTTTTTGGTAAGTAGTTTCTAATAACTATGTTAAAGGTTAATTCATATATTTCAATTTCAGATTAAATATGGAATTACTAAATTTATGTAGGTTGGAAATTATTCAAAATTTCCATCCTTACAAAGTTTATGTAACACAATGTCTAAATGCTACTCATCCTCGGTTGCGTCCTTGGAGAAGACCAAAATATCGACTAAGTAACAAAAAAAGAATGGTGTGGCTCGGAAGATTGAGTCCATGTGGCGTTGAAACGTTTGAGGTACGTTTTTTTAGCCCAAAAGGCATTACAACGAATTTAAACATTCCCAGTGGAGTGCTGACTTCAGTTTTGCAAATATCTTTTGGGTTCATTAGAATGTTGTAATAGGCTTGATTAATGTCGATCTTAGAGAATAATGCATTTCCATGAAGTCGTTCTGCCTCTTGATCGATGCACGATTTTGTATAACGGTCGTACAGTTCTTTTCTCCCGTAGTTTGCGAAATTCATAATGAATTACTCTTAATTTCTCACCAGAGTATCTTCTGCAAACGGTCGGTGCTCTTTTTCAATCTGATGGCTTATTTGTGAATTTGTTGACAGTTTGTAGTTGTTAGGAGTGGATAGGTTAATATACTTGCGAACTATGTTAGGCAACTTGATAGAGGAATTTAAGATGAATATCAAATGTTTTTCCACGTTCTTTACGGATCCAGCGACAGATAAAGATGTTAGAGTATTTATCAGTCGTTTGATCTTTATGTCTGGCATTAAACCGAAATTTGCCAAAAAATCAGCCCTATAATTGGTAACTTCACATTAGCTATTATGAAATTCCAGTTGAAGTTGTTGTCTTACACGTAGTTTTGTGTTTTTTCTCTTGCTTCTGAGAAGAAGCGCCAAATATTAATGGACACTGGACCTTTTTTTAAGTTAGTTATTGTTTGTACTTTAGTTTTTACATTACGCCAGATGCCGTTGCGCTGGTTAATGGGCTAAATATAAGACAGTTTTTGTGGTCTTATATTTAGAAGATAGCGCAAATTTCCATGATACCGAAACCAGGGAAAAGCCTAAAAGTTGTCAAATCATATCGCCCAAAAAGTCTACTTCCGATCCTGTCAAAAGTTTTGAAAATCTTATTTCTAAAGCGCCTTACACCGATTATTCAACAAAACAGACTCATTCCTGACCATCAATTCGGCTTTCTCCAAAAATATAGCACAATAGAACAAATTCATAGACTTGTCAAACATATCCATAGTGCGATAGATGGTAAAAAATATTGCACTGTGGCATTTAAAGACATTTCATAAGCTTTTGATCGAGTATGGCATGAGGACTTTCTTTTTAAACTAAAACTGAATCTACCCCTAAAGTTTTTCATATTCATTAAATCACACTTCTCGGCAAGGCACTTTTTCATTAAGCATGGAAACGAAACTACAGGACTTCATGATATAGGAGCAGGAGTACGTCAAGGTAGCGTAATGGGACTAATGCTTTATCTTCTATATACTGCGGATCTTCCCCTTAGGAATGAGAGTGTTATCGGTACATATGCAGACGATACAGCTATTTTATCAGTTGACAGTGACCCAATTCGTGCTTCCACCATACTCGATTACCACAAGCTGTAGAAACAAAATATTTGGGCATACATCTGAATAGTAAACTAACCTGGACCTTTCTTTTTTAGATCGTAATAACTATTATTAAGATTCATGTTAATATATATTACTTATTGTCATTCATACCTGACAGATTGTAATAAAATAAATGGATTAAAAAAAAAAACTGAAAAGTACTTAAACCGAAAATATAATATATAAAAAATCGTACACATTCGATGGCAACTCTGGACAGAATGGAAATTTTGTTAGTAATAAAATTTGAAGTTAAAATTTTGAAAATGAATAACTCTTTGCAATTATTGATTAGAATATTTTTTTTTACATGATTATAAATAAAATATAATTTTTCGTATCTTTTAACAGTAAAATAATACTTAGAACAAATAGCATATTTGTTATTAACGCAATCATTCGCTGACAGATAACTGGAAATTTCGTACTTCCAAAAATCGTTCACAATAAACAAATTTTCAGTGGTGGCAACCATGTGAACCATGTTCTTCGTAACACCTTTGGCCTCTACGAGTTGGCGGCGACTACCGCATCCGAATGAACCACGATCTATACCAGCTTGATTACAACATTTATATATTTTAGCGAATTAACATCCATCCGCTCCGGTAATATGACCATGTCGTTAATATGAATGATGATGCGAAAAAGGTATTTAAAGTGGTAATTGGAAGATGGAAGTGTGTAGACCAATTATCCGGTGGAGTATTCAAGCTGAGGGAGCACTAACGGGGCTTAATAGAGGTGACAGAAGAAGACGTGCACACAGCAGAGGCGCTTAAAGAGACATGCGGCGTCAGGTCGAAACTCAATAATACCCATTTAAGTAAGTTAATAATTATATATATAATATATTGTTTATAATGAATACGTAAATTTTAAAAAACATATGTACAGTTAAATATCTTTTGATATACTATGCATTACTATATTTATTAAATTTATAGGCTATAGTTCATCGGTGATCGTCGATTTATTAATAAAAAATCAACTTTTTAATGTTTTTAAAAGGCGAATACTTGTTTTATTTTATTTATTGCACTTTTCCATAACTTCTTCTCGTTTCAGTAAATCTTACTTAATGTTATTTATTTTCAAACTTTCCACGTTTTAATTTATATTTTAGAAATAAAAAAACCGCTCTTTAATTTACCAAAATATTATTAATATAGTATCAAAATTTAACAACATTGATAACTGTTTACCGTTGGGGAAGGAGTGAACACACAAGGTAAAGTGTGTGATTGCATTTAACTTGGTAAGTGCCAGTGAGATCCTTGTCACTGTTCTCTCCAAATTGACACACAGTCTCCACGTGGCCCTCTCTTATAGCTCCAATCATCTGTGCGTAGTGAACTAATGTGTGCAGCGAAATCCTCCTCATGGACATATGAGGTCATGCGACGGGTTCGGAGTCGGATTTGCGGTAAGTCGAAGATTGAGAAATTTAATTTCAACATTTACACCAATAGAGGAAAGGCTTGCCAAAATCCGTTTAAAGGCAAAATTTTTCCAAATGACCCTAATTTGTGCACATGCCCTTATGGAAGATAAAGATGACGACACCAAGGAAACTTTCTATGAACAGCTTGAACTGTCCCCACCATGACGTTGAAATTATTGTAGGAAACTTCAACGCAAAGGTAGGTAGGTAATATTCTACAAAAATGTAATGCTACTTGCGTATGCCGACGCTATTGATAACATCGAGAAACAAGCGAAGCAAATGGGTCTTATGGTAAATGACGAAAAAACATAATACTTTTTGAAAACAAACAAATCACCTGACCATCTTGGAACCCACGTCACTGTTGAGAATTATAAGTTCAAAGTTGTGAAACACTGTTTATTTGGGAACTAGTGTAAACACATAAAATGACGTCAATCTAAAGATTCAGCGAAGATCACCCTTGCCAGCAGGTGTTACTTCGGGTTAAATAGACAATTGAGAAACAAAGCTTTGTCTCGACAATCAAAAATCACGCTTTACAAAACAATTATCATGCCTGTCCTGCAATATGGTGCAGAAGCTTGGACAATTACCGATAGGAACATTCGAGAGAAAGTTGTCGACGAGTATCAAATTACATAGAACGTAGACATAGTTAAGTGCATAGTTAAGCGGTTACACTGGATTAGTCATGTCATGCGATTGGAAGAAAGTGCTCCGGCCTGGATGTTTGATTCGGTACCCACATGTGGAAAACGCGGTAGAGAATGTCCGCATCTTTGGTAGAAGGACCAGGTGACTAACGAATTGGGGCGCTCGATACTACCAATTGGTGACAGCAAGCATCTGAATAGTCTGGCTGGCGAAGGGTCATATCTGTAAGTGCCAATTTAGTAAGTAAGATAGCTGTTCACTATTTGCGTCTTGACTACAATCATATCAGGAAAAACCATGACGTACACAGAGAGTGGAAAAATAGCGTGAATGCGACTTGATAATGGCCAATATAAAAATAGGAATTTGTGTAAGCAACGAAGTAGTGAAAAAAGGTATAAGAGCAGTGAAATATGTATACAAGGATGATCTTAACCATTATATAATTATTGTGCCAAGTGAAAGTAGATAGAATCAGCTCTACTGCTATCTAAATCATGTTCCTGTCTTCCACATCACTACAAGATTTTAAAACAGTTAGTGAATACTCTTATTAATTAATATGTAACATTCATAATATTCCGTACATACTGCAAAATAAAATAAATAATATAATAAATAATAAATAAATGGTAACATGCTGTGATATATAAAAGCGACAAATCCATTGTCAGATTGAAGATTGAAAGTAATTCTTGATTCTTCTTCTTCTTGAGTTAGTGCTATTACGCACTTTTACTCTTTACTGGCTGGGGGCTTATCTCTACCCCACCCCTAGGCTTTAACTAGGCTAAAAAAAAATCATATCATGTATTTATCAAATCAAATTTGAAAATAATTATTTTTTCATACAACATCATGGTTAGTAGTAGTAAAAATATATTATATGGAGATTTTTAAACAGTAGAATTTTGCAAAAAAATTAATTATTTTTAATAAATTGAGCTGTTTTCAGTATTGTCAAATATTGTAGTTAATAATTTTTTGACACTGTAAGTCAAAAAATAACTGACTTCCAAAATATGTATATTTCATGTAGAATTATTATAATTAATATAATTTAACAACTTCCGATGTTAAATGCCAAAGTTTTTTTATTAAATCAGAACATAATTTCGCTCTAAGGTGGGTACAATTATATAGTCTAAAACTAACTCTAGAAAACTGTCTCAATTATTTGCCAAAACAGTTTAATTCTAATACTTTGATAACGCCTTATGAAAAATACTACTTTCAATTAAAAACGGAATTAAAATATTTCTTATTTTAAAGTCACTAATTTTTATTTAAGGCGCATATTATATGTATATTTTACAATCCATATTTATAAAGGCTCTCGGTTGATAATTCTAATAAATATGACTATATGCACACTAGTTTTTTAACTCAGTGCGATTAGCAGCAACTTCAGCTAATATAAATAAATCAGAGGTAGGTAATATATTATCCATCCCTTTGCCAGATAATTCAGAAAGTGTTTGTGGCACGAATGATGAAACATTAGCATCTGTAGTTGTTGCCTCCTGAAAGTAGTAAGGGTCACTGATAGCGAAATGATCTGCAGGTAGTGGAATTAATGATGCCACTTCATTTTCTATGACATTCACATCACGTCTAGTGATGCTTTCTTTACGAGCTTTACGTTTTTGGCTCCCGACAATTTGTTGTATATTTGTCCGGGTATTAACTCCATTCTTAAGATGTGGCGATAACGTTACAGTACGTCCAATTTCCGTTTTATTATTGGAAGCATTACTTGAATTTCGTTTTTTTCCACTTAACTTTTTTTGTTTTTGATTGATACGTTTGCGTTGTAGATAAGCATCTAAGCTAAGAACTGGCAACTGCTTTATTTTTTCACTCAAGTTAAAACTAAATAATTCAAATTCATTTATACTGTCAGATTCTGAAATACTGCGCCGACAAGTACTTTTGCGACTACAGGATACTTCATTTATAGAAAATTTATTATTTCCTTGTCCAAGTGGTGAAATGCATTCATAAGCAATATCATTATTTTTTATAGAATTTTCTTCGCTGCCTTCAACTGCTTTGGACGATTTTACTTTTTTAGCAATTGTGATAATTTGTCCCGAGTTAACAAGTTCTTGGTATTTCTTTCCTTTACATGAACGTCCTAATTTCTTTGGAGTTAGGTTCTTATCACTACTATTGCAAGATATACTTTGGCAGTTATAGTGTCTTTTTTTGGTAGCAGACGTATTGCTGATACTGTCAGAAGGTTCGATTAATTGTTTGTTGATAATAAGATTATTTAAAAGTCCCATTTGTGTTTCATTCGCTAATTTGAAATCAGTTGCTATTTCAACTTCTACATCCGACTCTTTCGATTGTTCAATATTGAATGTGCGCGCGTTGAATGAACGTAATGATGGCGCTGGCAGTTTATACCATTGAAAGTTTGGATTAGCAGAGAAAAACGCATCCTTATTCTGTAATTAAATAATACTTAGTTTAAAAACAACAGTTTTTTAGTCACTTTATTTAGGTCGTGTGCGAGTTAGGCTAAGTTGCGTTCTAAATGAGGGAAATTCTAAGTTGTGCCGATAATGTCGTGATGTGTCGATACGTGTTGATAAATGGCTAAATGTGTGCAGTGCAAAAAATCCCAAGAAAAGTCCCATTTGGTTTAGCATCAACTTAGCCTAACTCGCACACGTCCTTAGATACAAAAAGGATACTTTCCCTATTTTCATAAATTCTGGAGATAATTCTTTTGGCGCAGAAATATAAAGAAATATGAAATATGAATGGAACACAAAGTACCAAAAACAAACACAAAAAAGTTTTCATTTAAAAACCCTGGACATTACTTAAATAGTTTATTCAAATTGCCTACCCCATTTATTGGAACATATGTATATGTAAATAAAAATTAATACATAATATAGCTGAAGTTGCTAAAAGAGCTATAAGACGTAAAAACAATAATAGCTTGTTTGTTTTGTTAATAGCTTGATTGTTTACAAAACTTATTGTGCTCCTTGAGAAAACGAAATAAATTATTTTTAAATAAAAATATAAATAAAAATAATAATATAACGCCAAAAAACCGCGTTTATTTGCTAGTTGTAAAAATGTTCTAATTTTTTTGTGAAAACCATTTAAAGCAGAGATATTGGGTACGACCAGGTATCTTCAACAGAAAAACCAACTGTTAGGTTTCATAAAGCATAATTTCACTTCATCAAAATAATAATAATAGATGCTTTCGGCATCTTTTACATGTAGCAAAAAACTCGCCTAAAGTTGCAAAACAACAACACTACCTAAGCATCTATAACCTACCCACTTTTCTGTCTAAACACCTAAATATTACGAACGCAATAAACGAATTATTGTAAACCTCTATTAGAAATTTTAACCAATAGGCGTTTTCGGTGGCTCGAAAGTGTGGCAAAATAGGCATGCTGGCGTATATTCGTTAAGCGAGACATTGGCATCACTGTTGCAATCTGTCAAGCATTATGCTTTGGCAAATAGCAAATCTTATATATGTGCGCATGATGCAAGCAAATTACATTTCGTATAAAAATAAAAAATTAATAAAAATTTAAAATTAAAATTATTACAGAATTAAAAGGAATGGTGAATATGGAAATTTTGGAAATTTCAAAAAAAAAACACTGAAATTTTTCTTTTTCCCAAATTTTAAAATTTTTGAATTTTGTTTAAATTTTTGTTTACATATGATTTTTGACATATGATTGCAATATTCGTTGGATTTCCAATGTAGCTTTACAATAGTTCACTTATTGCGTGGGCAACACTTTTTTCTTTACTGGCCGAGGTATGTGGACAGTATACAACTATTGGCCTAGACAGAGAAAATAGTGTTGTTGTTTTGGGTACATTTCGGCTAGTATACGTCAGAATAGGCCATCAACTTTCTGTTTTTTACCATACTTGCGAGCTACCGAAAACGCCTAAAATTCCGGTCATATGTTAAAAGATTGTAAACAAAAATTCATGAAAAATTAAAAAGTTTCAAAATTTGAAAATTTTGGTAATGAAATATTTTCAAAATATGCCAAATTGTGAAAAATAAAGATTTTAAATATATACAAAAATTTTTAGGAGTATGTGCAGAATTTATTGAGAAAGGATATTTCAAAATTTCTTCTCATTCTCAACATTGTTTTTACTTCATTATTCATTTTAATATTAGCTTTGTTTTTTATTTTTATACAAAATGTAATTTGCTTGCAGATATGCAAGATGTGGGATTCGATTCCGCGACTGTGAAAAAAATGTTACACGAAAACGAAAAACTCATTTCTCACCGCAGTTTACACTTTCTTGTAGAATGGTATTCCCCAAGTGCTAGTGAATTTTTCGTGCTGAATGCATTTTTGACAGTTGTCAGTGAAGAAATTTGTATTTACACTGAATAAACTCAGTTATTGAAAATAAATAAGTAAACAAAATGGGAGACATATTACTAATTATAATGCAATTTTATAATAATAATATATTAAAAATTTTTATTTTATATTTTTATGATTTTTTTACAGTTCTTATAACTTCTTACAGTTCTTAAAATTTTATTATCGTTAGAAAACTCGATATTGATATTTGAGTACAAACTTTTGCTCCTTTTGCTCCTTTTGCTGGCTTGTTACTTTTTCCATTTTTAAAACCGATAAAAAAATAATAATACAAGTTTGTATTTAATTTTGCACAAAATTTCGTATGTTTTTTTAAAAACTCACGGCCAAATACACAGTGAATAAAATTCACTATTCACATTTGAGGAATAGCAAAATCAAAATGTAAGCATATTTTTGTTTGTACAGTTGCGGAATAGACCCCCTGCTCTTTGCGAAAACATAACATTTGACAGATTGCAACAGTGATGTCAATATCTCGCTTAGCGCTTATTGCATGTAACTTCCTGTTTTTTGCCACACTTAAAAGCTGCCGAAAGCACCTAATATTCAGCTGTTCCTTTAACCAACCAATGTCGAAGCAACAATATAATTAGCTATATTATCATATTATAAGCTAATATGAGTTACTTTATATCTCATATATATAATTCTTCTGTACGTGTGTTGACAGTGAACTTCTCCTAAACGGCTAAACCGATTTTGATGAAATTTTTTGTGTGTGTTCAAGTGGATTCAAGGAAGGTTTAGATTCATAATTTGAGCCACTAAATAATGTCTTTTTAATTAATTTTTTGGTATCCATATACATTTATATTAGAAATTTAAAATTTATTCATGCTTACTTTGATTTGTTTCAAAAGTTTAAAATCTCTAAAAACTGTATAATAATTAAAAAAACGTTATCCAGTGGACCAAATTGTGAATCTAAACCATCCTTGAATTCACTTGAACACACATAAAAAAGAAAAATTATATATTTTAAGATATAAATAACGTACAAAAAAAATAATATGAATATGAGTCGGATATCGACTATTCGTCACATTCACGAATTGTAATCGGTGCTATGAACAAACAGTGCCAACACTGTCATGCACTCAAATACAAAGGTGAATCGGCCGGTTTCTGCTGCGCATCTGGAAAAGTTGTATTGCCACCATTGAATTCGGCGTCAGAACCATTAAAAGCACTATTGGCTGGATCTACATCTCAATCTAAATTGTTTTTTCGTAAAATTCGCAAATTCAATTCGTGTTTTCAAATGACATCATTTGGAACAACAAAAATCGTTCAGAATGAGATTGGTCGCAATTTTCAATCAACGCTTAAGATTCAGGGCCAAGTGTATCACCAAATTGGTTCTTTAATGCCGATGCCCAATAATGATCCCAAATTTCCGCAAATCTACTTCATGGGTGATGAGAAGCAGCAAATAAACGCACGTTGCCAGTACAACCATATCGAGCAGATGGAGGAGCAAGAAATTCTGGGTATTTTAGAAACGTTTTTAAAAAATCACAACCAGTTGGTCCAGTTCTTCAATACCGTTTCAAACAGACTGCTAAACGACAACTATACAATCGTCATCAAAGCAGACAAAGTACCATCTGGGCAGCACGCGGGCCGATATAATGCACCGGCTATTAATGAAGTTGCAGTTGTTATGGTTGGCGACGCATTTGAACGTCGAGATATACGAATACAACGCAGAGATAACACAGTGCATACGATTGCAGACAGTCATCGCTCTTACGACGCTTTGCAATATCCATGGATATTTTTTTTCATTTAAAATGTAGTGCTTATAAGGATTTGAAGTAACATGAAAATATTTGTAACATAATTAATGCATGTGGACTTTTTGTAGTTCAAAAGAAAAAATATTATAACTCAGCTGAGCCAGGAAAATTAATTTTAAGGGGAAACAACGTTCGCCGGGTCAGCTAGTACAATTATATATTTAATGTCGAATTTATTGAGAATGCACATAAGTGCATTGGTAGAATGCACTTATGTATACCCAGTGTAACTCAAAGTTACTGCGAGTAGTAACAGACCTACTATTTGTTTTTGAAAAATCTCATTTTTCTTTTATATATTTCTTCATATTTGAGTTTTGTAATTATTTTTTTGGTTGTAATCATATTATTTATTTAAAATATATTTTTTTACTTCTGCTTTTATTTTTATGAAATAAACCTGACACAATTGAAATCCCATCTTATGTTAACATCAAATAAGAAGTGGCAAAACTTAAAAAAATATTTTTAACTGCACATTCTGTTCGTGACTTTTATTTTCAGCGTAAATGCAGTCGATATCTTATTTCAAAGGTCGAATAGGAAAACGGTGTGTGATAAATTAAATTAGGTTTTTCAAAATTCATCTAGAAGTTTTTGAAAAAAATCTGCTTTAAACTAGCACTTTAGTACAAATGCATATTACACACGCATCATATTAAGGCAAAAATAATGGACTGAAAACTGATATGATATGATCAGCTCAAGAATTCACTTGAATAAAATTTTATTTTTGGATTTGAAAATGTAATCATTTTTACCACTGTTTTCTATGCGGAATAGGTTTCTTTTCATAGGACATAAAATTCTTAATTAGGACTACGAAGCAACTTGGGGCAACCATTTTTGAGATATCATACCTCGCCCCCTATCGCCCTATCTTCGACTAAAGTCTACAAAAAGTATTCAGGAAACTATATGCATATATAAGTACATAAATAAATACATATACAAGCTTATACCTGTTGTGCTAGGTTTGTGAAATGGTTTTTTTCATTCGCTTCGAGTGTTGCCCACCAGTCCCCTAGTATTTTTGTTATTGACCTGTGTAAATAATGATTGGTTATTATCTGTAAGCTTTGTATAGCAGAATTGAACAAAAAACTTACTACGTTTCATAAAAAAAATATATAACTTACCTATTTTCTAAAGACTTGTATCGTTCTCTCACAACAGCTCGATGCCTTTTACAAAATATTAGAAATGCATTCATGGGTCTTCTAGCATGATATTCTGGGGGAGTATGATCAGTAATGGGAGTAGCAGTAACTTTTTTACTGAGGTCTGTCTTTAATATGTTTTCGCTTGTGTCTTCAAAATTATTTTCAGTCTCCTTAGTCACAGCATAATTAGCTTCAATTTTGTTTTGATTCTGAATAGTTGTTGAACTTGGCATGTGGTTCATAAAATAATTTTCAAAGTTGGTATCCAAATCAACAAATTCATCTTCATCTCCTTCATCTAAATCCTCATCCTCCTCATCTTCTTCATTACTAGAATAACTGTAATCTAGTTTTGCATAATTATGCACATCTTCGATCTGACGAAAAGCATTCTCTTGATGCTCATTTCGATTTATTGGAGATTTAAGTTCTCCCCCATGTTCTGTCTCATTTTGTTCATTTGTTTTATATATAAATTTGTTTTTAAATTCAATTATTTCGTTATTGTTATTATTATTGGTACATTCCTTACCGGTGACTGAAGTCGTAGCGACTCTACGACTCAATATACCCGTACGGCGCCAAGCAAAAAAGGCACTATCGTTTTGAATATTTTTTGGTATCATATTTGGTGTTTTTTTCTCGTCTGGACTGTGACTTAATAAAATGGGATAATTATTGGTGTTGGTTTGTAGACGATGATAGGTTGGTATGACTGAATTTTTGTTAACTGAGACATGTTTCTCTGAAAGATCAGAATTCGCATCATTTAGTGCAAAGTGATTTTGTACAACATCAAAATTGTAGTTGGAATAATAGGTCTGTGATATATTTGAAAATGTTCCGAAATTCGTTGTTTCCAATGTGACAATTTGAGTTGGTAGTAAGTCGTTCTTATTTGTATTATTGTCTAGGCAAACCTCCACTGAATTCGCACCATTAATCATGATCAGCTTTTATTAAATAGTTCGTTTATTACAAAGAGTTCGTGTGATAACATAACAAACTGTAAAGAGATCGATTATTTACTATTTTTTCATTACGTATAGAAATCACATTTGTAAGTCTTTTAAATTGAGATAATATTCAAGGGGCTATTAAAAATAAAAAAAATTTTAAATTTTCTTTTTAAAACAATGTAGTTCGGAGTATTATTAATTTAGAAGGAAATATACTTGTAACAGGCAGATTCTATGTTCAGTATCAATTCAATCACAGATTACTCAGAATGCCAAATTAGGTCTTGACTTAACAGGAGCGTTAGATAAGGAGTAAATTATAATCCACTTGCAAAAAGTGAAAAAAGTTTTCCGGTTTTGAAATTTAGACTATAGTTAGTTTTTATACACATAAAATATCTAAGTAAAGTATATATACTAATAAATCTTTAATCTGTAACCCTATGAACAAAGAATTTAATTATTAGGGTCTTCCATATTTAAAAAAATATATATATAGGTATAAAAACAGCTATGTAGTAAATAAAATAAATAATATTTTTGCTTTATTTAATAAGGGATGCTTTAGTAAAAATAGAAATCGCTCTGAAAATTGAAATTAATTTAGACTTTGGAGCTATAATTAGAAACTAAATTCAGTTTAATGTTTCTGAAAACAGACATTTCCATGCTTTGAAAATTGTGACAGTTTACTGTTTATTTACTTATGATTCAGTAAAGAGCAGAGATGGGTTAATATTTTTTAGAAACCTGAGTTAAAATTTTTTAAATTGGTGTTCTTTAAAAATGTTCCATAAAAAAACAGTTCCAATTTCCGCTTTGTTTTAAACATTTAATTTAAATATTACATAAACTATATAGCTAAAATAAACATATTGAATATCGGTTAATGCCCAATAGTTTGTAAAAAAAAAGCGCCTAATATTTTTGTATATCGCACTTCAATATATTTTAAAATCTATAAAAATCAGTAGTAAACTATTTTTCCAGTGTGCCAGGTAAACGTTACAAAACCATTCACAAAAAATACAACGCTTTACTGAATTTATAATTAAGAGTATATTTATTCTCACCGGCATGATTTATAATTTCTATGAAACACCTATTATTTGTAATCCTCAGCAACAATAAATTCTTCACCTCTTGCTCTTTTTTTCTTATTCAAAGATAATATTCTGAAATATTATCATGTGAACTTTCTTATATATCGGAACATGGACATGATCAGTCGTATGCATTCATTGGTGTTTTTAGCTCCAATGAGGATTCGGCAGGTTGCTTAAATTGAATTGAGATTAATGCATTCCCTACCCTTTGCGTTTCAGCATGAAAATATTGTTAATGGTCAATTCAATTTCGCTAAAATCTCTACGTTTGCAAGCACTTGAATTTTATGCTGTACAAGCTTTCAGCAGATAGTGCATACTTACATAGTTTCCACGGTAAGCATATGTAAATCTTTCGACGCTTAATCTAGAATTCACAAAATCATTGCTTTGTTGAAGATATTCTAGTTTTGCAGCAAGGGTCTAGTACAAACAAAGCCAAAGTCAATTGTTATTTCTCAACCCATTCCAAGAGAATTCTTTAAGTATAAAAATTAATAAACTAGTTCGCTTACAAGTGAAAAGATTTCGCATAAGATATAAATCTGTCTACACTCCTGACTTCCATGGATATTATTTGATCCAATAAAAAGCAAAATGTTGACATTTACGACATATAAGTGTGTAAGTGTGTAGTGGATCACAATTTGAATGGCTCATATGTGAAGTCGTTAACATTTCCCAATTTGCGGATATGGGCCATATCTTAGTTACTGATTCCCTACCGCTTAATAAGTAAAACAACTAAGTTACGAATGAACAATCAAAATACACATTTGAAAAATAAAAATAATTAAGAAATGTTAATTTAATTAATTATAATTAGTAATTAAATAATTAGTATTTTTAGGGCCAAAAATATTTTAAAGGAAAGGTCAATATATTGTTTAATTTTTATATGTACCCAAATCGTTATAAGATTTATTTAAGGTTAAGTGTGTAAGTAAAATCGTTAATTTTCTGAAATGTTCTTTACAAGACCAGTCGGAGTTTTGGTGTATAAAAATGTATCTGCATATGTAAATATAAGTAAACATAAGTGTCACATCTACGTTTTGTTTATAAAATTTTTCTCATTGCTTGTGTGATAATTTATTCTTATTTTCGTCTTTTAAAGTTTTCGTTCCACTTGTTTTATTTTAGTTTTGTTTGTTTGAGTTCATTTCGAATAAAAAAGAACGCAATTTAATTTTTACTTTCGATCAGGTCAGTAGTCAGTCGATATATTATTATGCAAAGCTATAAATGGAGTGTTATGTGCTCTCAGTTAGGCATCCATCACACAACAACAACAACAACAACAACACACACACATACACACGAACACAGTTATAAGGGAGGATTGTGTTCTCACATTCTAACTCATCGACTGAACGACCGACCGACCGACCGACCGTTTTGTTTTATGCTTGAACTTGATTTTGTGATTTTGTTTTAAATATTTTTTGTAGTTTCTTTATCTGATTTTCATTTTCTATTTTTTGCTGTTGCTTTTACTTTTGCTTTTGCTTTTGTTTTATTGTGAAAACAAAATTAATGAAAGCTTTTTCAAAAATATTTGAAAACAATACAGCGTACGCAGAAAGATATGGTGGAAGATAGATAGATAATGGAACAGTTTCGAGTTCATATTTTTTAAATTAAATATTTATTAAAAATAATGTAGCACTTTATTCTACAAATAATTTTTCAAATTTTTGTTTTGCTTTACGTATTTGTTTTCAAATTCATTTTATCACTGAACTTTGTGAAAAGCTTTTTAATCAGCTGATGACGTTTAAGTTATTTTCAATGCAGTTTAAATCGCAATTAATTACATATTATAATAACATTTTATTCGGCAACTAACTAATCGTAGATTGAATTTTTTATTCTTTAAAAAAAAAAAGTTTAATTTAAATTTTGTTAACTAATTACCAGAGCGGATGATGTCAAAACAAGAATGATACTCGCTTTACTATTTATTCGCATTGAACTTGTTAGCTGCATCTCAGGCGCACGCACATATGCACACTAGACACGTACACACTATCAAACATGGTATGTAGCTTTTGATTGCGGTTCGTACTCGTCGAATATGTAAATATAGTAAGCTTTCTTGCTCAGTTCCATTCAGACGAAGAAACTTTCACGTCAAATTGCTGTATTATTGGGAAGTAAAATTCTCTACGTTGCATTTTGTTCAAACTTTCAAGGTCACTCGGCGTGAGTGCGAATTGTCGGTCATTTGGTCGTCAAATTGACGGCCACTCCGTTCCTTTTTTACACACTTTTTAGTGTTGGTTTGAGTTTGTCAATCCGTCTCTGTTATTGTTTTTTCATGTTTTTCAGGGTCACAAATATGTTTTCTTTTCAAAGCCACAGAGGAAAGTTACGATAACTTCTTGATATCTCGGGTTAAATGGTTTCATGCACGTACAATACATGCAAATAAAATTATTTCTCTGCAAATCAAATCTTCTTACGGATCTTTTAATTATATAATTTCTGATTACTGGTATTTTCATTTATTTCACAAATACTGAAATACAAAATTATTATTGCTAACGATCTAAATTCTGTTTTTGTTGGAAGTACATATGTATGTACATAGGTGTTTTCCTTCCCTATTTGCGTATTTTTGTATATTTTTAAGTTGATTTTGACAATTAAATAAATAACAAATAGTTAATTAGTTCACTATTAAAAACCCATTTTTAAATGTTTTCAATAATGTGCTTATATATGTTCATTTGTATACATATATATGTATACATATGTATAAATGGAGAATGGAGAACACTAATTTTTTACTAACAAGTCATAAGAAATCACAAAACGACGGTCTACGTAGAAAACTACTGGATGAATATACGCGTGATCGTACATGGTTTCTTGTTTTAGAAGTAATTCAAATATACCTCAAATGCCTCAAACTTAAATAGTTTGTATAAAGGTGTTATGAAATGTTGTTGATATAATTAATTTGCAACATTACTACTTGCAGGAGAAAAACATAATTGAAAATCTTTTCAATAACTGATTACTATAGTAAATGATAACGTATTCAGATGTTATCCTTCAGATGTACAAAACAAGTTAATAAATTTATTAATAATGATGGAAATAAAATTTTAATATTCACATAATCATATATTTATTGCCATTAATTTAATAATTCGTCTATTTTTATTCATTTCATAGCTGAAGGAAGGTCTATGATGTCAGTACTATTAAATAAATAATTAATTTTAAATGTATAATTCAACATAATAAAAGTTACATATACATACGTAGTTGCATTTTCGAAGCGTATTTACCTGTTGTACATTGGAACTACGACCAGTTTGTTTGTGGGGTTGACTTGAACTAAATTTAAGGAGCCAAGCAAAAGCTATCCAAACCAAGATAACTATGCTAAAACTTGCGTTCTTAAGATAAGTGTGGTGGTGTTTGTCGTATCTAACTTGATTTCTATAAGAGGAACCATAAGCGCAACATTGTTCATCAAGTAAACATAGAATGCTGTGTGCAGCTTGATTATAGTGTTTATAGCTGAATCATACAAACAGTAAGTTAGCTTCAGTGCACTTGAAAGAGTATAAACAGGAAACGTTACTTTGTGTGTTGGATAAATTTCTAAACAAAAACTGTGATATTGCGCTTTGTCTTGTACATATTTCCTTTAATACAAAGTAAGACAAAACGTAATTTGACAAAAGTGTGGAATAAATCTACATAATATGTCCAACTAAATCGATTCGAATTAACGTGAGTTAAGGTGTCATATAATCGAGTTGAATTTAACATACTATTAGTTATAAACACGAATGTAGTTTAACTAGGCCTTGTCTAAGATTGATCACCCTCTTCTTATGTTACATACGTATTCATTACTTACTACTTTCTTAATAAATCTTATTTTTATATATATTTCAATTTTATTGAGTATACCATCAAATGTACATACAATTGGTTTGTATGCCATTCATTCGCGATATTTTAATGATAAAAAATATAATAAATATAAACAAATAAAGAAATAAAAAGTACTACATTGAAAATTACTCTGAACCCTTGACAACAGGGATTGTGATTTTAATTTGACGACTTATTGCTTCGTTTTTTTTTATAATATAACAAAACCAAAAACTCAAGGTTTATTATTTTACCAACGCCTTTATTGCTCGAATTCCCGACTTTTTTGCTAAACTGAGCTCATATGGCAACGCTTACATAACTTTTACATATTCACTTACAAATTTAACCAACTTAAATAAACTTAAACAGTTTTTATATTTTATTATCGAGTACACATACCGTCAACGTCATCAAAACAGCTGATAAAGAGCTTAAGTCAGCTGTTCATCTAGTAACAAAGTTGGCGGAACAGTGAACAAGAGTAAAGCCAAAAAAATTTACTTAATATATAAGTTTTTCCTGGAACTGAGGTAAACGTTTGCATTGTTGTACTTTGTGATCGTCTGCCACCACTCTAGATTGTTTGTATTGGCGCTGAAGTAGCGCTTGCCACAAAGAATTTCAGTCTGTAACAGCTGTGAATACAAAAAAGCACAAGTTAGAATATGAGATATATATTAATGTCCAATGTATTTTTTATCTAATGCACTTGAAAATGTTTCATAACATCAAACTTTAATATTTGCTCTTTAATATTAAATTAAGGAAGAAATTAAATCCGTCGATTATTATCTAACGCAGTCGAACCCTATTTCAAAATCTAAAAAGCGAATTATTAGTAAAATACATAAATCTACTTTAATTCTACTATAATTCATATTATATATGTATGTATTTTTGCAAAATATATATTGCCTTACTTTCCATTTATTATAAAATTATTTATATATTAATAAGTAATTAAAATGTACGTTAAGATTTATCATAATATGAACTGTGAAGATCTCAGCATATACTAAAGCTATATACTCTTATCTATAATTGTAAATTAAATTCTTCCATTTGAATATAAGTAAATAAATATCTTTCATCAGCTGGAAAGTTTTTATGGGTTTTATATACCTTTTATATACCTATATTATTGTCTTCTATATATTCGAGTGTTATTCTTATTCTGATTATGATTATAAATTTTATATACATATAGCAATTTCGTGTTCGCAGACATAATTAAGATTATTGAGGTAATTTAATCAGGAAAGTTTGTATCTAATAATATTAAAATATAAATAGTATTTAAATTATAATAATATTAAAATAATAATAATCTTTTTTTAAGTAATAGGACTGTTTATAGAAAATATTATTCTATAACATCTGTATGCTCCTTAAAATCCTGCGGTTTAAAGAACTAAACTTCACCAGCAATTAGAATTAGAATGCATAGATAGAAACTTCTGTATCTGTAAACTTCTGTATATATATAGAAATACTCCAAGATATATGGTGTGCTGGAGCAGTATATCCATTATAGTTTGTAAAAGATTTATTTACTAAATTCTTTAGAATTTAAATATATTTGGTTAATAACCAAGATAACCAAGATCAACTCAAAGGTCTGCAAGAACGATTATGTGGATGAAGTATCATGGATTATACCTTTTTCAGCTGCTGAAAATACTAAGTTCATTTTGTCTCATTCAGCGATTTATTGTTTACATGAAATTAAATGTTCTGTCTCAGCAAAAAATTGGATTACTCGTAAAGATTTTTGTGTGAAGATCAATAAATTCAGTTTCACTTTTGACGATGAAGATCGACTATTGCAACAACAAAATGCTGTTATGAGGATGATCAAGCATGTCGTGCGTACATATAACATATTGAGATTTAGGTATTATTTCTTCAACCAGCTTATATAAAATTATCATTTACTCATGACTTATTCTTGTCGAATTTATATAATTTGACAAAACTAAAAAAGACGCTTGCGTTGTTGATTGGCGATAAGAACAGTTCAAGAAATACGATGAGAGCTACGAGTCTATGATCGTGACCGTGAAACAAATAGCAATCAACTGCAAGTGTATTATATGATGAACAACTAATCCTGTGGCAATAATGTAAATAATAAATAGGTATTCAACTATTTTAATACATATACAGTAGGCTACAACAATAATACCAACAACATATACGAAGTTACTTATATATGTATTTTAATTAAATATTATAGTAACTACTTTTCTTATTTCAATAGAGCAATTTACAATTTTGAAATTGAAATTTTTAGATAAAAACTGTTATGAAATTTGGTTATATATTTGTTTATATATTATTGGGTTATAATTATTACTTACTTAATATCGCAATTGCATTAAGAAGGCATTAGCGTTTCAAAACATTTATAAATGTTTCATGCGGAATACGTATATTTGCAAACATGCGCATTTTTTTCTTCCCCTCCGTTTGTTGTCTCAGCAACTTCATGCGTCGCGTTACGTCTCCGCCATACTATATATATTTATATAAATAAACAAGTGATTGAGAAAACTTTTCTGATAAACATACCAATTTGGCAGTCACATCCTTCCGATATGCTTTGATGGTTTCGCGTGCCAAAACTTTACCTCCAACGCAAGCTTGTATTGCAATTTGAACCATCTGTTTTGGAATCTGTTCCTTTAATTTTGTTACTATATCGCGTGCAATATTATTAGCTTTCGACGCATGTACAATACGACTCAACTCTTCAACAAGTCGATTGTTAATATGTATTTCAAGTCGTACAACGTGGGTTAAATGGTAACCATAATCTTCGTAATTGAAACTAGCATATCCAGAACTGACAGATTTTAAGTAGTCATTGAAATCCAAAATAATTTCACTTAAAGGCATAATGTAGTTCATTAAAAGACGATCGTTATCAATATTTATAGAACTCATTTGGACGCCACGTCGATTTGTACATAAACCAATAATTTCACCTACATACCTGGTAGGCGTTATAATTGTACCTGAAATATTTTTAATTGATTAATATAGTTTATAAGTAATATATTACGTCATACCTTTTACAAGGGGTTCGTAATATTCTTTCACATGGATTGGCTCCGGAAATAAAGCTGCATTTGAAAGCTCTAATGTGTCTTTTCCTAGTTGCTTTATCATTTTAGGATTCTTAAGTACAATTCGATACGTTACAGATGGTGCCGTTATTATAGGTTCTGCTCCATACTCCTGCTCTAAGCGCTGACAAAAAACTTCCATATGTAAAAGTCCTAAGAACCCTAATCGCCAACCTTGGCCTAGGGCAGGGCTAGAATCAATATTTATTGTCACCGCTGAATCATTGAGAGCAAGTTTCTCAATTGCGCTACGCAAATGAACGTGTTTCGATTGATCCGCCGGAAAAACGCCAGCAAATACCATTGGTTGCTGCGGCTTAAATGTGTTAACGGAAGTTGTTTTCTGATTTTTAAGATGTATTGTATCACCGATGATAGACTCCTTGCTGTTACGCATATTACATGCAATTAAAGCCACTTGTCCAGCTGATCTAGTGTAATTATTAGAGCTTTGAACAGTACAAATTAATTGTTGGTACCTACATGCAAGTAATACTTTGTTCCGCAGGCCTTAAAACTGAAATATTTTTTACTGAATACACTTTTTTAGTTATCATTGATTGAATTTCTTGCCCTACATTTAATTGGCCATCCAATACATATATAAGGTTTAAAGCACCTCTATATTTATCAAACCAGCTGTCAAAAATAAATGCCCGAAAAAGAGATGTACGATTAACTTGTGGGCATGGAATTACTTCAATTACTCTATCGAGAACGGCAGAGACACCTGATCCCAATTTAGCGGATATCTGCTTTAACATATGAAGAAAGAGTTAGGATAGAAGTTAGGAAAAATTATTACGAACTAACCTTTAAAACAGAGTCTGGTTCAATATCAAAAAGATATTTTAAATCTTTGCAGACCATTTCAGGATTTGCGTGCTTCATATCAATTTTATTAAGTACCGGTATTACCTCCAATCTTCGAGATTTCGCCAAATGGTAATTTGCGACTGTTTGCGCTTGAACTCCATGACATGCATCTACAAGCAAAATTACTCCATCGCACGCCGCCAATGATCTATACACCTCCAAATAAAAACGCAGTTGTGTAAAATCTTTATACGCTCATAAAATATTTTACCTCGTTGGAGAAGTCAACATGGCCCGGCGTATCAATCAAATTCAATAAATACTTTTGATTATTGTACATATAGAATATAGATGCAGTTTGGGCTTTTACTGTTATACCACGCTCTCGTTCAACTTGTAAGCTATCCAGTACTTGGTTCCCAGAGTTCTGAGATATTGCCCCAGTAATTTCGAGAATACGATCTGCAAGTGTGCTTTTTCCATGATCTACATGAGCTATTATACAAAAATTACGAATACGATCTATTGGTATACTTGAGAAATCTTGTGAAGTATTTTTTGTCGCAACGTCGGGTGCGGAACATAACATACGGCACACATGTGGCTTGAATGAGAGTGAGCTAAAAGCTTTGCTCAAATTTTGCGATAGTAAGAATTGAATAACTTGCCTTACCAATATTTAATGTTCCAGAAATTAATAAACGCAGAATATTTTTGGCTGAAACTTAATAATTTATTCATGTTAATGCGACCACATACTTTGCCACTGAAGTCAGCTGTTCGAGTTCGAAACGTGAGACAAGGTAGCGTGGGCGCTAAGTTCAGAATGGAATTGGAACATTTTTCGCCGCATGCGAATTTGTGTAAATATGCATATTGTAAATATGAAAAGGCTCAATTCGTTGGTAAGTACCGTAAGAACTTAAATAGAAACTAAATGAAATTTCGCTCTACTCTAAAGTGTAATCAGTCCGTACGTAAGCACATGATTTTGTGTACATTTGAATAAATAAAATGTTTTCAAAAAGTGCACCTAAAATAATAAAAATATTTTGTTGAAAATTAAATACAAATATTGTTATAATAACAAAAGCGAACTTTGTTTATTTCGTTCCTATCAAATACACTGGTGTGGTTGGTTGACCTTTCGCTTTGGCTTACGTTCGCTTAAGTTCTTACGGTACGTACCGACTAACTGAGCCTTAAGAATATATATGTACATTTAATATAAGATTTCATAAATTAATACATGACTTTTATTTTATTTTTTATATTATAATTTAAATATTTTTGATATTTAATAAAATCAGATATTAAAAATTAATTCTAAGAAACAAATGAAATTATCTTTACAAATGTATATATCAAACTTTTTACATAAAAATCATACGTTATGTAAAAATCGAGCTTCTTATATACATGACCCTAAAAAGTCGTCATTAGTATATTTATAATATAAAATCCAGAAAGAGTTTGACTTCGTGACATGTTTTGTTCAAGAAGTTAAAATAAATTTAAAAAAAAAAAAATGATATAGGTAAAGCTTGATGGACGTAGCTACAACATACATATATGTATGTAAATATATATTTCAATTCAAAAAACATCGACAATTCACATTAAAACATAAAATAAAAGATGCATATGAATACAAAAAGAAAAATGTTTTTATATATATACAAAATATCAATATGTATAGTAGATTTTATGAAAAAATTATATTACAAGAACTTTTTAAAGAAATTGTGTTACTACTTTGTAAATAATTTAAAACAGCATTTTCTGATATACCATATTTGAAAGAATATAAATAATCTTTCTAAATAATAAAATGACAACAAAAGACTTAATAAATATAAATATATAATAAGTATATAAAAATAATCACAAATTATAACATTTTCCAAATAAGGTAATTATATTTAAAATACAGTAATACTATGTTTACATTGTGAGATCAAGAGAACGAAATTAAGTTAATCTGCATTTTTTATCTCCATCGTTGACATTATTCATTGGAGATTAATATTGCCGTATCTCTTGTTGTGTTTGATAAATTTCTGTAAATAAAACATTTAATTACAATTTTGCACAAAAAAATTGTAATAGTAGTAGTAGTAGTAGTAGCTTTATTTTTAATTCATTTTAAAGTTATTATATTACATCGAAGTTATATAATAATTATAATACATATAATTATAATAAATATACATAAAGCTTACAGCTATGGCATTTTAGCCGTCTGCCGGAAGTTTAGATTAATCTAATAGCTAATTAACTAATAACTAATTAATCCAATTTTTATAAATATTAAATAGGTATTCTTGCTTATGAGCTCAATACAAAATAAAAATTAAATTAAATTACTTTAACAAAAATAATAGATTTTATATAAGTTAATTTAAAAGTCTTCATTAATAGTATTTTGCCTATATTTAAATGTAGTTTTAATAAACGCCGTTAACAATCTTCAGTTGGGGCCATTCAGTAACCGTATGGTTTCATTGACATTGAGCGCGGGTTTACCGAAGTACAGCAATCTATGTTCTTTAAAAATTGGGCATTCACCTACTAAGTGTATAACATCGCCTTTCAATTTAAGGTTGCATATCGTGCACAGCGTGTCTAGACTTTCATGCGGTACGTAGCACAATCGTAGGAGCTCGCCGCGGGTTTTGAAGATTGTCCTTATTGTTTCTAGGTCATATTGCTCGTGAAAGTAATTATTGACACCTAGATCATAATTCAACTTACTATATGCATCTCTCGATATACTGTTTCTTGCCGTTTCTACAAAATTTCTTCGTTCTTCAATACTTAGTTTCGTTATTATATTTTTTTGCCACATTTTCCAGTTTTCATTAATACTCAAATCATTAGTTATATTTAACTCGGATGCCAGATTTGACCATTTTTCAAAAAATAATGTTTTTTCATTTATTAGGTACTGCGCTAATGTTTTTTGAATCCTATTGTCTGGCAAATTCCTAACACGATTGATGTAATCAAAATGCAATTTTAATGTTTGGGTATATAGCGTCGGTAGACCAGTTTCTAAATGCACCATATAATTTGGGGTATTTTTCGGCAAACGAAACGTTCTCTTTATATAAAATGTCTGCAATTTTTCTACTGCGTCATATTTATCAACACCCCAGATTTGCGCTGCATAATTTAGAACTGACTTAACTGTGGCTTCAAAAACTTTGTATTTTACGGGCAGTGACACTTTCGGATTTCCTAAGACATTTATCCAGGTACAATTAATAGCCAATTTAGCTTCCTTTAACTTCTCGTTCAAGTGGTTATCGAATTTTGCGTTATATTTCATATTTATTCCTAAATATTTATAATTATTAACCACTTCTAATTGATCATCGTTAAGGTACCATTTTTCATCATTTCTCAATCTTCTAGCATGTTTCCTAAATACCATCACTTTTGATTTGTCTGTATTTATAGATAGTCCCCATAAGTTGCAATATCTATTTAATTCATCTATCATATTTTGTAACATTATTGGAGAATCTGCAAACAACACAATATCATCAGCATATAATAGTACTTTTAGGCACATATTGGCAATCGTAACACCACCAGAAAGAAATTTATTTAAGTCATCAACGAACAGTGCAAACAATATAGGGCTTAAGACACAACCTTGTCTCACTCCGGTACACGTTTGGAACCATCTCGATGTACTTCTTCCGTCCCATACTGTTGACTCATTGTTGCAGTATAGACTTTGCAGTATTTTCAAAATTTTTGTTGAAAGACCCAGCTGGCTTAGTTTGTAAAATAGTACGTTTCTTTGTATTGTATCGAAAGCAGCTTTAAGATCTACGTAAAAAACATATAACTTTTTGCTTTTTGCAATAAACTCTTGCGCTACACTAGTGATGACGAAAATATTATCTACCGTGGAGTAACCTTTTCGAAATCCAGCTTGAAATTCGCTTAATATGTTGTTTTGATCAACCCAATTTTTAATTCTGTTATACAGGAGTGTTGTAAAGACTTTAGCTGATGTATTAAGAAATGCTATTCCTCTATAATTTGCTACATTATTTGGGTCACCTTTTTTAAATAGGGGAAATGTTATGGCTTTTTTGTAACTATCAGGTGGGGCTGCATTTTCAAATATATGATTGTATGATTCAGCCATATGCTCTATAAATTGTGGCGTGGCATATTTTAAAAACTCAGCTGGAATTCTGTTTTCACCTGCGGCTTTGTTATTTTTTAAATTCTGGAGCACTGCATAGACCTCTTCAATCTTTATTGGAGCATCTAACGCTTCATTTATTACATACGGCAGGGCATAACTGAAAGACTTGCTTACTATATTGCTATTTAACTGGATTTTAAAATGTGCCGCCAAAGCTTCGGCGTCCACTTTAATTCCTTTTATGTAATCTGCACGATTTATTTTTTTAACTCCACTCCAAAATGATTTACTATCAGCTGCTTGGGATATCGACATTGCCATTTCATTGAAATATGACTTCCTTTTCTCATCACACAGCTTTTTGTATTCTCTGTTTACATTTTTGTATTTCTCTAAATCAGCTATATCACCACCTTTTTTAACTGTTTTGAGCCATTTAAATGATTTCTTTCTTGCAGTTTCACATTCAAAATCATACCATTTTTGTTTCCTATTTATACCCGCCGAATTACCCTGAAACGATTTTGCTGCTTGTTTTACACAATATTGAAGAATGTCATCTCCTTCCTTCGACGCAAATGTACTACCTTCGCATGCATTAAGGGATTCTACAAGCTTTTCTTGGTACAGATCTTTATATTTATCTTTCCATATCAGTTTCGGTAGCAACTGCATTTTATTTTCATTTGAATTAGAGGCATCTAGATTTACCATAATTTCCAGTGGCTGATGATCCGAGTATATCATGTCACGTATTTGAAACTCTTCAGTTATTATTAACCATACTCCTTTCACAAAACAATAATCTATCGTTGACCTTGCTACACCTCTGATAAACGTAAATGTACCCTCTCTGTCGCCTTTAGTGCGGCCATTTAACACGGTGACACCAAATGAATTGCAAATTTCTAGTAATTGTTTTTTCATTTCTATCTACAATTGTATCCATTGCTACTCTGTGGCCCAATAATTCAGTCCACTGCATATTTGGGCTGAGTTCCAGACATTGTTCTTTGCCTATGCGTGCATTGAAGTCACCTATTATCATGACATTTTCGTTCTGAGCTTCCACTAATATTTCACATAAGTTATTGAGATCATTTAGCCAGTTATTGCAATTTAGGTAAACTGGGATTAAACATAACTTTTGATTATTAGTGGTTATCTCGATTATTGTTGAGTTCATAATGTGCTTGAACACCACAGTACCGCAAAATTGCAATTGCTTTCGTACACCATACAATTTGCCTCCACTGGCTCGACCTCTATTTGTTGTTCTTGTTGCAGGCACCCAATGAAGATTGTATTCTATAAATGTGTTTTCAATATAATCTGTCTTACTTACTAAAAATGTTTCAAATAATACAAATATATCGAATTTTTTAACATACTTCATAAATTCTATAAACTTATACTTATTTGCTAAACCAGCTACATTATACGATAATATTTTAAATTTATATGCTAATTTAGTGTCTGACCTGGCGGTATTTGCATTTTTTTCAATTTTTTGTTTGGCATCTTTAACGATTTCCTTTTTTACTAACAGTTTTTTGGCTGATTTATTTTTTTAAAAAGCTTGTTTTTCTCGAGCACTTCTTCCACTTCAATCTCACCATACAATTGCTTTAATTGCTCAACAGCGTCACCATCTTTGCACTTTAGTTTCTTGTTTTTATCAAAGTGCATCCATTTTCCTGATATATTTATACTGTCATTTTTAACATAAATACAAAAAAATTGTAATATAAATTTAACAAATAGTTTTAAAATAATAATTTAACAAATTTTAGTAATAATTATGTACAAAACTATTAATAAACAAATTTATTAAAAATTTACTTCGACTTTTTCAAATTTTCAATGTTTGTTTTAAATAGATTTTGATATTTCTTTCTCGTAAAAAAATTAAGCCATTAAGCCATTTCTGGAGTTGCACAGAAAAATAATCACCATTTCTAAAGAGATTAAAAATTAATCTCGTCCAAAACGAGATTAACTTTTTTATGGGAAATCTGAGATTAAACAACGAGGTTAATACTTTAATGTCGGCTTTTGCTTTAATCTACTTTTAATCACATAATGTGAACGCCGAATAATGTTAACATAATCAAACAATTAATTCTGTCTGAAGTAAATAAAAATGGTTGAAGTCTGAGGAAACATGTGTTGGAAATACTATATTAGTAACGGTAGGTAGCCATTGCGTGAGGATTGAACCTACTAAAATCTCCTGTTAGTTTTAAAAACGAAAACATTTCTAGTGACCAGGTCAAAGGAAAGGAAAAATCAAACGATCTTCGCTATCATTAATCAAGAATTGAAAAGCCGATTGGAGGTGATCGGAAAAGCTGAAAACAAAAGTTAAAACGTTATTTCGAAAACCATTGGAAAAAGAGAAATATTCGGTTTCGCTAACAATAAATTTTAGCTTACTAGCAATATATTTTTTATACTCATTATTGATATAGTGAACATCTAAGAACATCTACATTATAGAGAACATCTTGAAGGAAAGAGCAGGAATGGAGCTGCGATTATAAACAATATTTCAAACAAGTTGTACCTAGGCTGAACCACTCTGTTTAGGTCGGTAAGACCGGTGACCCACTCAAAGGGTTCAGCCGAAAGTGAAAGCTTTTTGTAAGGATATATCGGTAAAAAACACAACACAATTTCAACAAAATCCACAAGCTGTTAGTGTAAATAAATATATGTTGTGAAGTATGCATTTTATAGGGCGTTTACATTGTGTGATTAAAAGTAGATTAAAGCAAGAATCGAGATTAAAGTGCTAATCTCGTTGTTAATCTCAAATTTCCCATACAAAAGTTAATTTCCTTTTCATCTTCAGTACGAAGATAAGTAATGATGATTACTTATCTACGCAACTTTACAAATGGCTTCATGTCGTAGATTTTTTGTGCGATCTTAAAGAGATGTCAAAATCTACTCAAAACAAACATTGACAATTTGAAAATTGAGTGAAACTACCATTAAATTTGTTTAATAGATTTATGGATAATTATAACTAAAATTTGTTAAATTATTGTTTTACAACTATTTTTTAAATTTTTATTACAATTTTTTTATACAAAATTGTAATTAAATGCTTTATTTACAGAAATTTATTAAACAGACGAAACAAAACACAACAAGAGGAACGTCAATATTCATCTCCAATATATAATGTAAACGGTGGAGATTAAAAATGCAGATTAACTTAATCTCGTTCTGTTAATATCACAATGTCAAAAACAACTGTGGTTGCGCTACTCCGGTGTTTTCCATCATGTCATAGGCAAACGTCATATATTAGTATGAATCCAGTAATTTCAGCAAAAATCAAATTTTAAATAATTTTAAGAAAAAAAAAGCACACAAACAAAATCCAAGCATCACATTCAAAAATATTGTCTCACCTACCCATGCATATATATATTTAGTAAGTGTGCAATAAAAAGAAGAGTAGAAAAAATTTACCAAGAAACTTACATACGCATGAACTAGAAGCTATGTGTGCATTTGCTCTGATATTAGAGTTTTTTTCTATATGATTTTGTCCAAGCAAAATACAACATATTCGCTATTGGTTTGATTGCTGACTTCACTAACAAAATAGCATTGATCATACATAAAATAATAAGTTCGATTGTTTATATGTTTGAACAGACATGTTTTTCCCATTGCGTGTACCTTTTCAGAATTCATGATTTTTTTAACAGAGGCAAATTACATGTCTTTATATTTCTATGTTTTTGGCATAACTAAACATTCTGGCGACGAAAATTGTTGACCGCGGATTTTTTTTTGATGTGCGGGAATAAAAAGAAGTCATTGGGTGCCAAGTCAGAGCTATACGGCGGATGACCAATCAATTCAACGTTTTGGCCGGTCAAAAAGGCGCTGGTTTGAGCCGATGTGTGAGAGCTCGCGTTGTCATGGTGAACAATGATTCATCTTCTCTTGTTCGTTTTTCGAATTTCTCCGAAGACTTCAGGCAAACAAATTGTGGTGTACCATTCAGAAGTGGCCGTCCTTCGTTGCTCAAGCGGAACAGTCGCCACATGACCAGTTTTGCCGTAGAAATAGGCGACCATTTGCTTCGAAGTGCTTCTTCCACGAACAACTTTCGTTGGATTTGGCTCGTCTTCGAAAACCCACATGGTCGATTGTTGTTTTGTTTCGGGCTCATACGCATAGATCCATAATTCGTCACCGGTGATCTTATAAACGTCTTTTGAAGCACCGTGAACGTATTTTTTCAACATTTCTTTACACCAATCGACACGAGCCTTTTTTTGAACGATTGTCAAATTGTGCGGGATCCAACGAGAACAAACCTTTTTTACGACCAGGTGTTTATGCAATATCGAATGTATGCTGATGGGAGAAATGCCCAAGGATGCCTCTATCTCACGGTATATCACATGACGATCTTGCATTATCAGTTCACGCACGGCATCAATGTTCTCTGGCACAACGGCCATTTTTGGACGACCTTCACGGAATTCGTCACTGAGCGAGTGTCGGTCACGATTGAATACATTAAACCAGTTTTTCACAGTGCTATAGGGTGGTGCTTCATCGCCATTCAAAGATTTAAGTTCATCAATGTAGTCTTGTCGTGATAATCCACGTCGAAAGTTGTGAAAAATGATCGCACGAAAATGCTCACTTGTTAATTGCATTTTTTGACAGAGATGAGTTCTTCAAGTCTCTGTAAATAAAACAATTCACAATTCAATGACAACACGTTCTGAGTGATGTTATGCTAAAAAATGTCAACCTTTTCAATGGAAATGTCAGATTGCACCTGGCAACACTTAGTCTTGCCTAGGCCAGAAATGCATATAGCAGCCCTCGTAGATCTCGGTTTGAGAGTTGCTAAAAAACGATTATGCCTGCACCTGCACCAATTAGGATATGTTTTCGTGGTACTACTATCGAACGGTACTATACCAGCTTACCTGATTTTATAAGATCTTGAATGTGGCCACTGACCAGTTGCAGTTCCTAATCTGGTTGAAAAAATCCGAAAACTCAAAATTTATTTTGGCAACAGTGACATATCTCTGTCGCAGTCACATGTAATAAAAAAGAAAATAACAACGTAGTAGAGCAGAATTACTAATAATAACAACATCAAGCTCCATGAAAAACACAATTATAATATTAGCCGCTGCAACGAGTGCAACATCGTCTCAATATAATCAGCAAGCCCACAAATTCGAAGTTCCCAACAAAATCCAAATGCCTATATAATGTCGTAAGCCCCATATTCGAAAACAGCCAACAATATAGTCAACAAATAAAGCTATCAGAAATGTTCAGAGTTTCCGTAAGCGGAGTAGAACTCCTCAGTCACATATTCGGATCCTGATACCATAAGAGGCTTCCAGTCTAATATCCATCACGTACTTGACATCCGACGAATCAGTGGAGAATTTATTTGGGGGAAATGCCGTTAGAGTAGCATCAAGCTAATTTAAAATAGTAATTTTATTCATATAGTTCTGATAAAATTATAAAAGCCAATCAGAGTTCGCATATTAAAGACCAACTATCTCAGCATATGCAGTTCCATTTAGTCTCGTTTCAGATGCTTTTTTTCCATCCTCCCGATTACCATCCAACACTTATTGATGAGATTTGACCATACTAAAGATCCGTTTGTAGTCGCTCCCGCGTAGAAAGTAAAAGAGAACTACTGACAATATACTACAGTTACGTATACAAAATATGTTTTGTCTCCCATGTGTATCTGATGTCTGACGGCCGTACAGGTACATATGTATATAAATATTTTTATTGTCTTAATCAATTTTCCTTCGCTACGCTTCAAGTGCACAAAGTTTTTTTTTTTGTTTTTAAAGATATTCTATGAGATCTTGACACGTATTCATACTAAAATACTAATCTAGAATCAAAATACTAAAAAATCATACTAATTTAATTGTAAGAATTTGTTAATGATAGGAGGCGCCTTGACCGTAGATGTATTAAACACAATTTTTGGTATTACCGATGTTGAAACTTTGTCCATTCGCACATCAAATCGTAAGTTAAATCTTGATACAACATTAAAAATAATAAAGCTCTGATCTTACATATTATTAATGTTGCCGTTGAACAAATTAGAATAAAACAGATAAACAAATAAGAATTAACTTATATTGAATTTTGGGACTTCGGAATCGCTACGGATTGGGTGTTTTCTTCTTCAACATTCAATGCCTATCCAGTCCTAGATTGTTGCTCATTCTCTGGAAATAACTGTATTCAACTAACCATAAGTAAATTAAACCAAACACATAAATTCAAAAAATAATTATTATACATATATTAAAACCAAAAAAAGAAAATGGAATGAATAATAATTAATTGTATTTATTTTATTATTTTCCAAAAAAAAAAAAATATATTTGCTACTAAAATTACGAAAGAGAAGAGAATTTAAAAAAAATAAATATTTTGTTACACAAAACATAAATAAACAGCTTTCGCTAAGGTTCTTAACTTAAGGCTCGGTTAGACGGTAGGTAACGTAAGAAATTAATTCAAAGCGAAATGCACAACCAACCAAACCTGCGTATTTGATAGAAACGAAATAAACAAAGTACACCGTTATTGTTTATTTCGTTCCCATCAAATACGCAGGTTTGGTTGGTTGTGCATTTCGCTTTGAATTAATTTCTTACGTTACCTACAGTCTAACTGAGCCTTCAGAAATACACATGGTGGAACACAGAAAACAAGTTACCAAAAATAATAAGTTGCAAAAAACGCAACTGAATCACTTCTGTGGGAGTTGTCCCCATTGCCCCACCGCTCCCTCGTATATGGTTGCAGGATATTCTGTCTATTGTTTCTGACAACAAAATAAGACTTTTCTATAGTAAGCTTTCCATTTCCACGAGCCATGAGTGAGCTTCTCAACCAGAAATAATTGAATAATTTTAAATTGCTCTTGATTGAGGTATCTAGCCACAAATGCACTTGAAAATGCCACACAAACAAAAAATATTGGACGACCCGGGCCAATCACTGAGGACACCCCAGCAAAGTATTAACGACAAATAAGTGTCGTTTTAATGATGATGCGGAATGCATAAGACTATTCATCTCTTTCACTTGAGGTTGTCATCACGAACAAAGCATTGGGATGCATACTTTCATTTCTAGAACATCAATATAATATAATGCTGAACCCGGCGACAAAATATTCTCACATTAAATAAATCTACGGTATTTTATTAAAATGCATCAGTTCAAATAAACTTTTAGCTGGAGTTGCAAATAAGTACGCTAATATGTGCAAGAATTAAGTGCTTGTCAAAATAATAGCATACGAAGTAATAAGGTAACACACCAGGTATATACAACTATATAGAGCAAGCAATCTTATGCTGTCAATATAATTCAATCTATTAACTTAACTTCATATATAACATGGAATAAACACAAAGATATTTTGTATTGTAACAGATCCTAGTGTAGTTTGCTTTCGAAAGAAACCTGCGTGAGCCTGTCCTAAAAAGGTAATTGACAAAACATGTAGCGAGAAGTGAATTCCAAATATTGGATCTGAGAGCATTACAGTGTCTCCAGAGAAACTCCGTTATAGAGGAGAGTTCCTTATAGAGTAGTTTATCTGGACTAAACACCAAAACCACAAATTCCAGAGAAAGCAAATCAGTTTCTCACGCCAATGGGTTTATTTATGGAATTATAGAAGCATCAATATATTGCCAGAATATATTTAACATCTCAAATTCAGAATACGAAAAGCAAATATTAAATAAATTTAATCGAGCTTAACATAAATTTGTCTTAAAGACAAGGTCCGTTTTCATTGTTTTTACTGCAATTTTTACTGTTGATAGTAAATGAATCATTGATCATAAAATGCTCATTGGTTTTAGGAATCAATAAATTCCATTAATAATAAATACATTTGTCTGGCTTGTGCGATTAGGAATAACTGTCACGCAAAATTGTCCTTGTAGTACCAAAAACTAGAGTAGGTAAATACGCGCCTGAAGATTGACTGCAGTACGCAAATTAGACGCGTGTTGCGTGTCCCAAAGTAATTATTTCATTGCCCTAAACACGAAATCTGACAATTAAAACAAATGAAATAATTAATTTTACAATAAAATGGAGCTGCCTTCCTAAGCATTAAGAGACACCGGGAAATGGCGATCCTAGCAGCATTGACTTGTACTGAATTATCTTAAATGATTGAATAAATTAAATGAATGTTTTTAAAAGAACTTAATTTTTTACCAATTTTAGCTTAATATATTCAAGACACCAACGCCTGTTCTCTACTTTTTGCATGAACCCAAAGGGCGCACCTCGCTGACTCCTAATGTAGGAAGGAAGACGCGTAGGAAGTTAACATCATCGCCATGAATGAACATTGAACATTGCAGTTTATTATTCTATAAATATATTGCACTGGAACATAGAATTTGTACATTTAAGTGACCTACAAGCACAAAGCAACAATAACAAACATAGTTTACTCTGAAGCATCCCAGCGTATAAAGATGCCTATTTCCTCTTGTGCCTTGAGTTCGTTTATGATGAAATGGCGAAATTCCTCGTATGCTTCATCAATATTGATATTATGAATAATCTTGTGGAAGTTTCCTGGCTGCAAGCCGTAATTTATTTCGAATTCTGCTGCTGATAATCTCTTGCTTAAGGTTTCTTCAGTCTCGGTATTACGTTTGCGTAAACGGCGTTCCAATTCTTCCACAGAGGGGGGGTTATTAAAGATAAGCACAGGATTCAAATCGGTGTTCTTGATTTGTTCTACGCCTTGCGGTTCAATATCCAAAATGCAAACCTTTCCTGCACTTTGTACACATTTTATAGCAGCTTTACTGGTTCCATATGTATTGCCACTGAAGACTGCAGTTTCGATGAATTCATCCCTGGCTATCGCGTTTTCCATGTCATTTTTGGTGACAAAGTAGTAATGTACGCCGTGTTCTTCACCCGCACGTGGGTTCCTGGTTGTGTGAGATATACTGAAACCAAAAGTATGCGGATATTCCTTAAACAATCTGTTAAGCAGAGTACTTTTTCCACTCCCAGATGGTCCACACACCACAAGCGGTCGGGGTCCAGGGCTTGCCATTTTACTAAATAGTCTTGAGAGCCAAATATTGAAGCCTTTCAAGTATTCGAATGATATTGTAAATGAACATTTAAATAAGAGCAATAGAGCAATGAATACATACGTTTTTTATATCGGTGGTTATTTGCAAAGTTATTCAAGCAATATGCTGTAACTGCGCACAAGCAAGCAAATATTTGTACGTTGAGCCGCTTTGTATGTCAGTCAATAGATTAAAAATGCAAAAGCTTTAACGAATCCAAACACAGCCGAATTCTTCTATTGTCAGCCACACTGAACTCAATAAACCTTCATTCAATTCAATTCAATTACAAAACAAAACAGCCGCTGTACTTGACTTAGTGATGGTAATATTGAACTGAAAAGCATTGTTATCGATAGTTTCTACAAATTTCATCTTCCAGTACATTGCCTTTCAAGGCGGCCTGTTGACAGATGATTAACATGGTCCTAAAGTCCACGATCACGGCGACTAGTTCTTGTGTTCCTTGACACATTAGTCATATTATGAATATTATGTTTTTTTAGCGGATATGCTTATACAATTACCATTAAATGTAGGAAGAACTAAGAAATTAATAATT